TTGATTAACTTTTTGTATCATTTTTTTTATTTTATTATTATTAATAATAACGTTTGCATAGACATTTCCAGGGGCGGACTAGCCATCTGTATAATTTCCCCGCAACGAGGCTCCCCCTTTGACAATCCACTAGCGCAGTGTTTGTGCGGAAAACTGAATTCAGTGTTTATAGTTCGAAAAGCTATTATGAGGATCGCCAAGTTGAAGGCATTTTTCAAAACTATTTTCCTAAGAAATGTGAGTCATAAGAATGCATAGCTTTCACGGTGAGAGAAAACTGTTGCTCCTGGTCTTTAAAGGATACAGAGTAGGCTGTAAGATACATCAAGAAAAAAGAAACAAAGTGTTGAACCATGAAACACATTAAAAAAACAAGCCAGTGACCCAAACCCAACCATCCCTTGGAGCATCCAGAGCGCTAGACTGTTGCTGTCACACACCCGGCAACACATTGTTTGTCACGGGTTATCATCATAGACTGTGGTTATCATCAGCATTTGTGTGACAAAGGGAAAGGATTGATTGTTTTGTCGACATCTGCTCTAAAAGCTTGATGTTTTGCTGGACACAAATTAATAATTTTTGCATGTTTTTTTAGTAGGGTTGAGTGCATGTATATGTATGTGTGTGTGTGTGTGTGCGTTTGTGCGTGTGTGCGTGCGTGTGTGTTACAAGGCCTTGCATCAGTTTGTATGCCTTTCCAGTACTACAAAATAGGCTGGTTTAATTGAAATCCCCCCTATGTCTTTCCTTTAAAGAATATCTTTCTTTTAGCTCGTGTAGCCCCTTCTCCTCTCTGTCTAAAGCACTTTCTTTTAAAAAAAGTGTTTCTTCATCTCCCTCATTCCCACACGTCTCCACTTCAAACCTTTCAAAACTTGCTTGCTCCACTGTTCTCGCCTTAGTTTGATAAACCGACTCAAAAACATCATAATGCCTGAGCACAGCTGCGTGATTCTGTTGAAACACATGTTTAACTTTTCATTCACAGTAGCCAAAACTCTGAGATCTTATGCTGCTTTGGTTTTAAAACACACAACTTCTGTGTGTGACAGAATATCGTTCGGCTCCATAGTGCTTCCAGTTTTCGCTTGGCACATTTGCAATGGGTCTAGAAAAGTCAGGCTATAACTGTGGAAGACCCCAAACTAAATATAGGCAGTGTTTTTGCAAAAAGGGGGACACCTTCTGTGCATTTCTAGGCACAGATGGAAGAGGAGGATACCACCATAGCTGAGTTTGATCTTTGGCAACTTGATATTGCATCAGAATTGCACAAAAAAGATCCAAATAACACCTGTGGGGAAATTCTTTATCTTGCAAGACTTCAAAAATGTCAAGTCATGTTTGTAGCTGTTATTATGATACAGTTAACAGCAGAGGCAACCTCATGGAGAGGTCAACCATGTCCCAATACATTCAAGACATAGGATGAAGTGTTGACTAAGCACTGAACTGGGTGTGTTGGTGTAAAACACATAGCAATGGTTAAAAGCAACTCACCTATCTACTGTCTACAGATCACCACAGAACCCAAGGTTAGATAATGCAGAACCATCCATGGAATATTACGAGAACTTGATCCAACGTTGGATGTGGGGCCCCGTTTAATACCATGTGGTGCATTTGTTTTGTTTGATTTTTGTGGTCATACGTTTGACCTCCTTGTGTCTGTTGGCCTGGTCAGAAGTTGTGCTTTGCTGCATGTACCTTTAAAGTTCTTGGCCGATGATCTGAGGGGAATTTCTTGTTGTTTGTTTTTAGCTTGTGATGTCATTTTGTAAAGCTCTTTGAGCTGCATGTGTTGTATGAAAGTGTTGAATAAATAAAGATGTATTATTATTATTATTATTATGGAGCTAAATTGACTTGACTCTCGAGTACATGCCTAGATCTGTTAGGATTATTCCGGCAAATGGGCTCGTAGTTCTTCCGTTTTCTTCAGGCCTCGACCAAGCATTTTCAAAATTGCCCTCCGATCAGTTTCCAATGCCAGCTTCTAAGACGGTTCTGTGCAACAAACCATATTCGCATCAGGTTAGCTTGTTGGACAAGTCCTGATTGCATCAAATTAAGTTTGACTGAGACGCATTCATAGTATCCTTAATGTACCAAAGTAAAATACTTTCACACTAATACTGGCCAACACTGATACACGTCGAAAACAAAGAAATACAAAGATGAATGACGTTTCACCAAAAGACGGCACAGCATTAAAAGTCTCAAACGGTTCTTTTTTATAGACACTAGACTGTGTAGTGCATTAGCTTGATTATATAAAGTGTGTGTATGCCTGTGTATTATGCGTTATGCACCATGGAGACTATAATGTGTCTTCCTGTTGTTCATCAGCTTTTACTTCCTATCAATATTTCAAGGAATCAATTAAAGCAACTTCTGCTCCCTAGTCCTGTCAAAGTGTTCAGATTTAACTCAATTAAGCATGATCAGGGACGTTTTTAATTAACGATTGAAGATATGTATGCAAAACAGGAGTATTATGAAGCCATTGCCATTTCTATCGTCATCCCTATTTCTGGGGAATCCAATTCTGTTCTCTCTCCCAGCCACGTGCATTATAGATCAATATGCAATACAGCTAACCCTCTGTACGGCTGTGGCTCTTATCTGTCAGAGAGTGGCTGCCTGTTGAATCTGTAACCAACACGTTTCCATGGTGTCAACATATTAAGTAAATATTCACACTAATTTGTGAGTTTAAAAAACAGCATTGGTTAGTGACCTTAAGAAATATGAACTTAAAAAAATTATTCAACAGGAAGATGAATGAAACTGTTCTCTTTTATGATTCATGTCCACAGACACAACACGCCATGCGCCCCTGGGTTAATTAAAGAGTCAGCTATGTCCACAGTTGTTTAAAGAAACGAGATTTGATACGTAAATGGAGTGGGAAGACATTCAAATGTGAAGGTCATATTTTTTCAACACAGTCTATTTCAAAAGTATAATCACAAAAATTGGCAAAACAGACTGCTTACCTTTTTCTTTTCATTTCTTTGTAACCCCTGCTCTTAAGCTTTTTTTTTTACGTCCGTTCTGATGAATATGAAAGAACCCTATTCTGCTCATTTTCAGGTTCAAATTTTGTATTTTGTGTCCCTACTGTGACATGTTTTCATGCTTTAATGTTAAAAAATTCTTTATTTTTCTCATAGTGCCTGTGCTGCAGCACATCTTTTCACCCTCTGTCTGAAACCAGAGCCCAGTCTGCTCTGATTGGTTAGCTGCCCGGCTCTGTTGTGATTGGTCAACCGCCAATCAAGGCGTGAGTGTTAATAACAAATATAACACATCAAGAAAGGGAAAACCCCTAAAAGCATAATAGGTCCTCTTTAACCCCTAACCCTTCCTCTAATGTTCCTCCTTCTCCATTGTGTCCATGGTGTTGCCCTCCTCTCATGATACACACGTTATTGCATTATTTCTCGTTTCCTGTCGTGTTGATTTTCAGATTTTCAGCTCTGATCTTGTTGCTGTCCTCTTTGAGCAGCTTCATTTATCTCCTTCTGAACAGAAAGAGGTTCCCAAAGGGAGGAGACTTCCTTTCATTCTTCATTTATCTCCGCCTTCTGCCGGTGTTTGATATTAAATTAGTATTGTTTTCCTTTTTTGTTCTCCAAAAGCAAGTTTCCAAAGGTTTCTGAGGACTGTAATTTTCCCTTAAAGGTTTCTATTATTCATACTTGATTACAGTAAGCTCTTGACTGGTTGCCAATTTCCTTCCACAGGGCTGAATTTATGGAGAATTTTTTTTGGTTATCAAGCTTGTTTAAGTCCTTTCATGATTGGTTTAAAAGCCAGCAGGTACATTTGGTGAATGGCTGCACCTCAGATTTGTAGTATTATTTAAGTGATAAGATACAGAACAGGACTACTACTTTTGGAACTAATGGAACCAAGAGTGTGTGTGTGTGTGTGTGTGTGTGTGTGTGTGTGTGTGTGTGTGTGTGTGTGTGTGTGTGTGTGTGTGTGTGTGTGTGTGTGTGTAGCCAGAGGTAACACTACAGTGTGTGGAGAGTTTAACTTTGTGGCTGACTCCGAGGCGGCCTACATCGTGTTGGACCGCTACACCTGCCCCACCTACATCGCCACCTGGGAGTTCAGCTGCAGGAACAGCCTGCCCTGGGTGAGGCACTATATATGTATTCGTTTATTTAATCAAACAACAACATAAACAACTTACTTCAGTGTTGTTGAAGTTAAACTGCTGACTTAATTCATGTCTTTTTGTCTCCCTCAGTCTTTCTGCGACACTTGGCTGGCACAGGACACAGACAAGGCTCGATTCATGGAGGAGATCTACGCCCACACCAGGAAGGTATGACAGCCACCTCTTGTTCAATACACTGAGAGAGATAACCTGCCTCTGAAAAGTAGTATACGTATAAAGTAGAAGGAAATAGAAATACTCAAGTTAGGAAGAAGTATGCCAAAGTTGTACTTGATTAAATGTACTGTTATATGACTCTTGTTGTGGGACTGAAGATGGAAATTAGCTTGTGGTTCAATCTGTCATAGTCCTTGTTTAATAGATATAAATACTACCTGTCCCTGCAGATGGTGCAGACTGAGCGGTACCAGAAGGAGCTGGTGTCAGGCCCGGGCTTCAACACCTGTGACTGCTACGCCATGGCAGCAGCCATCGACGACACCCTGCTGACGGAGAGTGACGAGGTTTTAAAATACTGTTCTCCTCTCTGATTGATCTATTTTCAGCAGAAGGGGCGGGCGTTTCCGTATTAAACATTTCTTTGTATCTTCCTCCTGCAGGTTGCAGTCACGGTGGAGCTGGAGGGGACTCACACCCGAGGCATGATGGTGCTGGACTACATGGACCTGCTGAAGAAGAAGCACAAGGTCTTCATCATGAAGAAAGTCGACGAGGAGAAGTTCAAACGACTGCTGATGAATTCACTGAAGTAGTATCTGAGACAACTCACATTATAGCCTCATCGTATTAAAGTCAAACCCTTTCCAAACCTTTGTGAAACATTGCAGGAGAAAACAAGGCAGCTTTCATGCCAAACATTTTGTAACAGAAAACCTGATATTATTCCTGGCAGTATAATTAGTAAAACAATGTATCTGTTGCCTTTTATAACCATTATGTACCTCAAAAATATTAAATACGAGATGATGAGGACTTGATTTCCAGTCATCCCGGTTCTCCATACATCTGGCCAGTTCATTGGTACTTTGTGCTCCTGCGTCATTCTTGAGTACGTCCACGTATGTTTGTGCGGGACGTCCTTGTGACCGATGCCCGTGTGTTGGTTCCCACAGCACCAATTTGCCAGCTGGCAGCTCTTGATGCCTTTGGCAATGTCCTGCGAGTCTCATTCTCCTGGCTACAATTTTTTTTCTCGCTCACCCTTGGTATTCCCTCGTACAGGATCTTGTTGGTTACATACACATACACTCTTGCTGATGTTAAGTACTGCTCGCAACATTCTGGTGTAGCATCCGTCGAGAGACTTTTGCAGGGTTGGCTTCAGGGTCCAGCATGCACTGCCAGAGAGGAGAACAGACTCTACCGTTGCATAGAAGAAGCTGAGTTTGATTTGACGGGGGAGGTTGGAGTTCCATACACTGGTCATGACGTTCAGGGCCCTCCATGCAAGTGCCTTCCTTCCTCCTTCCTTCCTTACTTGCTCGGTTGAGCTGATATTTGATTTCATTTGAAAACTACAGCATCTTTCAGACTTTAGTATATAATCCTTTGCCTGCTATTCATTTCCAAGAAACACACACTTGTAAAACACACCCTGGTGGGAGGTTTGAGCATTACACACTTGTTTGGAATTGGATTCATCATTTATTTCCCGAGAAAGTAAAACCAAAGTAACCCAAATTAATAAAACTTTTTATTGAAAGTGCTCAGGAATGTACACTTCATTCAGAGAAAGGAAGAAAGAAAAGTGTCCATCCCATGTCCCTCTACTTTCTCTTCAACAAGCAGGATTTATTTTAAAGAAAAAAAAACAACGCTCTTCGGAAACAATCATCTGTTAATATCATATATTACAACCTGCCAGAAATATTTACAAATCATACAAAAAGAAACAACAATAAAAGCTGCATCTCATCCGTCGTCCTGTTTTCTGTAACTAGTCCAAACACATCCTCAAGAGCTCCGAATCCACACCGGAGCCAGACAGAAAATCAACAAGCTCGTCCTTAGACTCGAGTCCTTCCCACAGACTGGAAGAAGCTGGAGATTCATTGGTTTGTGTGTCCCGCCTCAGAGACAAAAGGCCCCTACTGCACCCTGTACTTGTAGAACCAGCAGAGGCCCTGTGTGAAGTTCCAGCCCAGAGACAAGGAGAGGGTGTAGACGATGACGAGCAGAGCGAAGGGGTACAGCAGCGCCACCGTGTTCTTCAGGAAGGGAAGAGCTGTGGGGATAACAGAGTATAAAAACATCAGCACATTGACACCTATAAAGTCACAGTGAGATGTACACTACGTCCCTAGAGCAAACACAGTGTGTTCGTTGACCCTACATGGAGATGAACACTCCAGACAATAAAATAAAATAATAGACAGACATAACCAAAACCGCATTAATGGTACCTCTGTTTTGTGTCCTAAGACAACTTCCTGTTTTAATAGGACACATAGGCACACTGCCGTTTTGTAATTATTACGATTATCAATTACACTGGTGGATTCTGAAATGACCAATTACTATCAAATAAGAAAAACAACATTAAAAGTATCTTATTTTGGCTTGAGAGATAACTGAAACAACTGTTTAGGACTAACCCTAAGCCAGAAATTGTGTTCAACGGAGGTGGCGTCTTTTACTGCAAAGCTGGTACTTTAATAGAGACAATGTTGAGAATGATCTTTCTCTGTGTATGTGATTATTGTGGGGGAAACTTCTGAAGCAATTGGAGTCAGGAGAGACACGAGGAGAGCTGGAGCTTTGACGGCAAACACTGACGGTTTATTTGGAGCTTCGGCCGGAGAATTCACAAGACATGTCACGGGCCACGATCTGACACACGGTTGAGATGCCACAATCAATTCTGAAGAGCCCTCCTGTAGCTCCAGGTTTGAACTCAGAGTGTAATAATCAACATTCTTCAATAGATAGACTAAACAGCTGAGGACACTGAATCACATTTGTTGTCGCTTATGGCTCGGGGTCATCTACACCCCGAGAAGGATGTGATCCAGGTGTCCCTCAACAATAACTATCTCTGACTGAGAGTTGCCCGGTCACAAACTGGTAACAACAACAATATGCTAGGGCAGCCCCTCCTTAAGGGAGATAACGGCTGCTCAAGGTTGGTCAGCTGCGTCAGAGGGCGAAGGAGGAGGACATGCAGGGCAAATTATTCCCCGACAATTATGACTTACCGTTGTATCCCAAGAATGAGATGTAGAGATAATAGCCGATGGCAATCAGCCACGTTGTGTTCCCCACAAAGTATCCTATGAACCAGTCACTGTTTATTACCACGAGATCTGAAACACACAGGACCAAGAGTAAGTGTGGTGGAAAAGGGGCCAGGTGTTATTCTACAATAGCAATAATATGAATTGCTGATGTGGTATTTTATAATAAAAAATACAAACTAAATCAGAATAGTGTCCTTAATCTTAATTCAACACATACAATGCACCTTTAATTGCACAAAAAAACATTTAAAAAGCCTTTAATTTGATGAAGGTATTTCCGACACACTGCTATAACACACAAAGGGTCACCATCTACTCACGGTTTATAAAGAACAGCTGCAGGAAATGCCATTTCCTGCAGCTGTTCTTTATAAACCGTGAGTAGATGGTGACCCTTTGTGTGTTATAGCAGTGTGTCGGAAATACCTTCATCAAATTAAAGGCTTTTNACAGGCTGGTTCCTTTAGTCTGAATGTGTGTTTGGTGGCGTGATCATTATTATTTAGAGTCATTGCGTGCCTATTGATTTGAACACGATCCGTGTATCCATCATTTCCTGGTCTTCTCTAAAGAAGAGGGACCAATGAAAACGTTGTCATGTTGCCGTTGTTCAGCATGGAAACATTCATTAGCTAACAATGACATTATTGTTCTATTAATATAAAGGGAGGTCAGGTACTCTTTAAAACAGCTGCTAGTTATGGGTACTTTTTACTTAAGTACATTTCAAAGCCTCTTTAGTTTTACTTGAGAACTACTTAAACCAAAGCATGTCTGAGTCTGAATATACAGGAAGAAGTATCTAAAATGTCCCACGTCCTTCTCATTCCTTCCCAGCTTCTGCATATTACATGACTCCCCTGTATTCTCCAATTAACTGGTGCTGGGTAGAGATGGAGATAATGCTGTAATCAAATATGCAGCTCACCCTATTTGTCCTCCATTCTTTTAAATCTGCTCCTAACATAGAGGGATCTAATTACTTCTCTTAGGCATGGAGGGTAAAACCAGGACTCCCCATCTTTTTTAAGTTAGGAACTGTACAATCTGTTCTTTTTTCCCAACAGTGAAGGCTTAATCTTGTTAGTGGTGGGATTCAAGTAAGCCTAATTTGCAGTATTGTAACACATCAAGGTAATCTAATGGCTCTTTAAAGGATGCAAGACAGATTCTACGATGCGGACTCTAGATATCAGATAATGGGGACTCTCCAACCAATTGAAAGAAAGAACAAAACTCGGGGTACAAAGAACGCTCTGCACTTGCCTGATGTGTGCTCACACTGTACGATACAGTACGAATTACGAGTGCAAAAACTGACTCCTACGGTCACACACAAATAGACTCACAAAATGCCCACATGCGGAATGTCATGCGGAGAGATTTGCGAGTGAACCAAACTCCCTCTTCGAAAAAGTCCGCATTTATCAAAGAGGTCTCAGCAGGAGTTGGCAAACGCTCGTCTTTTCATCTCTTTCTTTGCCCGCGTCGTCCTTCTTTATTCTTCTCCAGGGATTTTTCATTTCTTTTTCACAAAATTCAAAGTGAAAGGATTTTAGAGGCTAACATTCACAGCTTTGTTTGGAGATTAGTCAAGAAGAAGAAAGACCATGCGCGCGTGTGTGTGTGCGTTCGTGTGTGTGTGTAGTGTATGTGTGTGTGTGCGTGCGTGTGTGTGTGTAGTGTATGTGTGCGTGTGTGTGTGTGTACAAGTATGTGTGTGTACGAGTATGCTGTGGGCCTTTGTTGACAGTTGATGCAGAGTTAATGTGATAATAACAAGCAGAGATGCAATTTGTTACCCAGTGAGCGGCGTCATTCAGCCGTGGTGGGGGGTTAAAGGTCCGCAGCAAAAGCAACATCAGCAAACTGTTCAAACGTTTCATATTTACAGCCAATCACATCACCATGGATTTTAGAATCAAGCAATATCACTTTTTTTCTGCCCTGAAGGTCAGCCTCCCCGTTTCCTCCATCATTTCCCATCAGTCATGTTATTGACTGTTAAAATCTGCCTTTCCGAAACTGACTACTCCACCAATCGATGATTTGAGTATCAAACTCACCGTGCTCGAGAGAAGCTCTGAAAATAGATTGCAATGGACAGTCTGTTTGAGCTTGGAATTGAAATGAGGACCCAGAGTCTTGAAATAACAGACTTGTCAAAACATATTAACGGGTTTTTATTGCACTGGCTTAGTTTAATACTCGATTGTGATTGGTCCATATGGAAAGTCAGAGGTCTGATCTTTTTTTGGAACGTCTATGGACTAGGTCCTATCATATCCATCCACAGAAAGAAGTCCGGGCTATACGACGTCAGCTTTGGAAAACAAACATTAGAAAACACTGTGGAGAGAACAAAACGTTGTGCTTGCCTCTCGTCTAATTTAACGTGTCATTTAAAGTCCTCTCTTTTTTTTGCCTCACATCTTAAATGTTCCTTTGCAGTTGTAATGCTGCTAAATTCATCACTGCAGGGTGAATACAGGTCTAAACTGTAAACAAATAGAGGTAAAACTGCAGCTCTTGAAGAGGTCACATTAGTCAAATGACAGTTTAGGCATTAGGTTTAATCTTGACATGGTTATTTCGTAGTATCCCTCACATTAACGTAGATGTAGAAGGCTTAATCATCTGCATGAGGTTGATTTGTGGTTCAAGCAAAGTTCTTCCATTGTTTCCTTCTCTACCATGAACATATACAAACAAGGCTGGAACATATTTACTATGATGACCTTTAGTTCTTTGCTGGATAACTTGTAATTGCAACGAGAAGGCACTTTAAGATATGTGTACTTGCACAAAACATGTTTTAGTGCATAGATACAGGTAGCTAGCACAGATCACATTTAAATATCAGATTTCTTATTGGCTTATTGTGTTGACACATTATAAGAATTTGACTCACTATAAACTTAAAAGTACAGAAAACCAATTTACAGGATGGGATGGTGAGAGGTGGAGCAGCATGGAACAGGAATTCATTAAAAAAGTTCTCTGTTCTTGGATTTACAAGGTTCCATTTGCAACCCTGAACATGCATAATAAGAAGCACACAGTCCAAGAGCAGCCCTCTAACCTTCACTTGTCTTTTGTATTTTTATTTTCTGCAAAACACCTAATCGCCCTTCACTCAAAAAGCATCTCGGCAGTGCTCATTATTCCAAATTCTATTCTACATTTATACGCCCTATATTAGAACCATTCGTAATTTGTAATCCATTACACAGTGTTCGTAGACTCCATTTGGACTCTTAAAATAACAATAAACATCATGTCAGCAGTGATAATGATTCGGGTTATTGCAAACGGTAAAAGCAGACCATAAAAATATTCCCGAAACACAAATAACAGTTTGCACGGAAAGCCCAACACAGATCACTTCCTCTTTCAGTCCCTTTGGAGCCGTAGTACTCAGATCCAAAACCCATTTAGCCTTTGCTTTAAAGGGAACAGGTTGCGCTCTCCACCCCTCACGGCCAGGGATTGATCATCTCTGATAGACCAGCATTTTAATTCTGTGACCAAATGTCCACACTGTAGGAAACACTTAGCTGGAGGGCATGCAGGATCTCTCCCATTGAAGCTGCTGCTGTGTTTATCCACATAAAAAATGTTGCTATCTTGCATTTATCTTGTTACCATTTTACATACATTGGTTTTACTTCATTTATTTCATCTGTATTTACTGTCTTTAATATCAAATCAGGGATAGTTTCATCCCAGAGGCCATACGACTGTTAAACACCTGACATTTTGAAACAACATCCATAACATTCATCTGGCTGCAACTTACAAATGATTTATCTAATATATCATATTCCAATCACTTGTATATAGACTCTTAATGCACTATTTCACTATTTCCCTATTTATTTGTATTACTTGCACTACTTTTTCAGTTTTTTCAGTTTTATTGTGTTGAAGCCTGTGACCTAAGATTTTCATCGACATAACTTCACTGTAGCTATTTACGTATGACAAATAAAAGCCTTGGACCTTGAAATGGTCTTTCCCAGACAAAGGCTTGATAGGCGCGTTCACACCGCAGTACTTTTCCCACTTTAGTTCCGATATAGTTCAGAAATGTCGCGTTCACACCAAAAAAACTAAAATGAGTTAATCAGAACCTTTTTACCTCCTTTTCCGTCCCTGCTAGAGAGCAAGGACTTTTGTGTGAGAAAAAGCTTCCTATGTCTGATTGTCTGGGCGGAATGCAAACCACGCCCCGTAAAACTCCCAAAAGGTTTTGTGAAGCCGCCATTTTATTATCATTGCATTAGCATTATTAGCATTAGCATTAGCCCAGCGCAGAAACGCAGAGAGACTAACTTATGGCAACACAAAAGAAAACATGGGAGCGGTGGAGATGAGGAGGTGTCGGCGTTCTGGCGATTTACTCGGAAGGCTTCAGTAGAAGCTGCTGGGACTCCCTCCCTTCTACTGAAGCCAGTCCCCAACTCCGGGGACTTCCGGCCGGGGACTTCGGGTGGCAGTATACGCCGTGAAGTGGTTTGCGGCCTGCCAGTAAACCCAAAGCAGAAGAAGAAGAAGTGACGTCAGCGGCTTCATTTGCCTAATCCTCCCCCAGGGACTTATTCCGGTGTGAACGCGATCTGCTCTTTAGTTCATCAGAACTAAAGAGTTCCGATGAACTATAAGTTCTGATGAACCTTTGTGGGAAAAGTACTGCGGTGTGATAGCGCCTAATGTTTCTTTTTTGATATTGATTTGGACCTTTTCTGATTCGTGGCCCAATGGGATGGTTCCATGGTGTAATGGTTAGCACTCTGGACTTTGAATCCAGCGATCCGAGTTCAAATCTCTGTGGAACCTGAATTTGTGTAGCCATCAGAGCGTTAACAGTAAAGAATGCCACACATGGAAATCGGAGACTCCTACCTACATCCAGATGCATATTCATATTGCATACAAACTCACTATATGTAAGAACAGACGTGCAATAAACAGGAAGTTCTAACTTCTGCTTGAGAGGAGATGCACTCAAAAAAAGGCAGTTGAATTTGACATTTACTTTGTTACCTGTCAGAGTCTGGCAGGAGAGCAAGGTCTGCCGCCTCACCCTTAAAAGATTGTAGTTAGAATATGGACGATTAGGATTTAGGAATGACTTTAGAATGAATAAATGAATACACAGATGAATCAATGGAGGATTTTACAGACAAAAAACAAGGTGAAAATGTCCAATATTCAAGTGCAGGGCGACTGTGGCAAAGGGGCGTCTTCCAAAAGAGCAATCAACATGTCGAAGTGTCCTTGGGCCAGACACTGTAGGTAAACCCCACATTGCTCTGTTAGGTTTGTCTGAAGTGCATATAAGTCCCTTTGGATAAACGCATACACAAAATAACATGTACCAATCCGTCAGCCTTTTTTAGGGGAAGCTGAACCCCTTTATTTCACCCCTC